AAAATCAATTATCGATGAAAAAAGGTAGAATGCGCTGAATGCATTCATGGCAAAAGCGCTAATGAGCCTATAAAAATAATTTTCTTTTGTAAAATCTCCCGCATACACTTATTGCTAGTCAACATACTGAAAAGTATCGAGTATAATTCTAGCCCTTTTTTTTCATAGAACTGATAGTGCTGAGTACTACGAGTTGAAATTTTCAATTGTTTAAACCGATGACGTCATGTATGCTAATGAGGAAAATGTAAACAATTGTCATATAAACAAAGATACGCTTAATGTATCCTCTGCTGCGGTTATGAGCGTAACATCCAACCATCAGGAAACCATCTTCTACGAAGTCAGTCCATCAGGACGCAAGCAACGAAATCACCTGGTCTTCTAGTAAAGCATAGAGTTAACCCAGAAGTTACGTTCAGAAAAAGTTCTTCCAGCGCGCGACCCGCCACCAGGTTTAAACAGCCGTCAAGCAAGCCACATTGAAGTAAGTTGCATTGCTTTTTGAAACGAAGAAGTCTTTGTACCCCGAATGACAGAAAAAATTATGAGCATACAATGCCTTTTATTAGTTTTAATAGATGCACATTTCGGCGATTGAAACTACCATCGATCGTCGGTTACAAAATACCATACAGGATTGGTTTCGAATCATATCCGAAACAACTGTTGTCTTTAAAAACTAAATATTGTTGTGTTTCTTGAATTTTTTTGCATTTTTTCATTACTCGATCTGGCATTTGGCATTTATGAAGTTATGCCCTCTTTTTAAGTAAATTAAGTTTTGTTTGCTTCTTACTGACTCCCTCAGTCTGTTATTTCGGAATTCTTTTGATGTAAACGATGGCCGGAACTTCGAAACAACTTTACAAACTTTTTTCTTTTTTTCGGCTGGTAGTACAATTGACGTCCGGTGCTTTATAATTTTTGGTAGTCTGAACTACGACCAATCAAAAGGCGTTTCTTAAAAAAAACATTAACCGCCTCCTTAGGCAAAACAAAATACATCAAGTATGACTATAAAATTTTCTTCCTACCTAAGTTTATAAATCAAACATCGCCAAAGTTCCATGTCAAATAAAATAGCTACAAAAATATAAAGGCCAAACTGACCGAAGCTAATAAAAGAAGCCCCGAGGCTTGCCTCGGCATTCCTTAAACACCTCAAATTAGATCATCCAGCAACGATTTTCAGATACGCCACGCGTGACTGTCATGTTTAACTGTGACTGTTTCGAGAAGAGACACTTTCTTTTATAAGAACTATTTTATAATTACACAGGAAAATTTTGTTTAACATTTTGAGCACATTTCACCATACGCTGGTATGTTTATAATATAAACACCTTTGTATTCAAGTTAAAACAAGTTATATTTGACCATCATAGTTGATTGGTCATGGGTGAAGGCGTGTTCAGGGCACGTGAAAAGACACGCGCCTTGTTGACCGTGTTCGTGATCCGGCCCTTTCGACCACCAGGAAATACATCATGGGTACTCCCTTGGCCTTGTCCGTCCCTTTCTATCTTTCAAGTTTTCTTTTCGTTATTCTATTTCTCTGTTCCATTATCCGTTCTTTGTCAAACCAAACGACATAAACGTAACAATGATTTGGAGGGAGTGATCAAGCTGATATATTCCCTAAGTCCTCTATTTTATAATTTATCACCACTATATGATTTTAGTATGCTGGTCTGTGAATAATGTTTTTCTAAAAGTTTGTTTGAAATTTTGATTAACTACTTTTCATTTATTTATTTATTTTTGTTCAAACTTTACCTATCTGATAGAACACCGGCTTTAAAACAAAACACACAAGCCAACAAAAAAAAGCATATAACCGACCATCATAGTCATAATGAAAAGCTATTTCGAGCTAATAAATCTTCAGGTGTGCGTGGCAATCTATCATATCCCAGGTCAGCAGTTATAACCAGTTATTATCAAGGAGAGAAAACGAGTAGTAAATTCTTATATGGGCTTGAACTACCGAGAACGTGAACATTGGTTTGGAGCCCATAACCCCTATCGCCGGGTCTTTCCGCGGGAAGTATCACCCCCCAAAGATTGCCGGCCAGTCAATATCACAGGACATAAGGACCTTTAGATTGGGCGTCGCGAGCAGAAGATTGAGTATGCTTTCTAGTACACACGAGTACTAGTCAGTTTCAAAACAATTCGCGTGCCCTATACAAAATTACTAATCACATCAATGGAAGGCCTTACATTTAGTTATGTGCTAGTTAGCAACAGGAATAAGTTATAGTTCGGAGGAATGTAAGGTCATGTAACCCATGTTGCTAGAAGTAGTCACTCATGCTGGATTTTTTACTCGTAGTCAAATTGTGCTGATATAGATCGCTAATTTCGCTTCAAGGAAAGCCATTTAAAAACTGTATTCTATTAGTAGACACATACTTCACTGAAGAGGCATTTTCCTGCATAATTAATATCTAACTGGTCATTAAGACTTCCGTTATTGCTGGGCACGTAGAGACAC